ACATTGAGCGAATTAAACACAAATACCGTAAACATTCAAGCTATGAAGAACCTAACCTCACAAATGAACAATTTATGGACAGTTTGAAACCAAAACTTTCTGCCATAAGCAGTCGACGCCGAAGGCACGTTAATTGCACTAAACGTAAAGTTCAAAATACTCAATTTAGATATAACGAAAGACAATTTTACAGAAGCCTAACAAGCGATATTACAAACACACAAAATAGGCAAGAAGTATCAGATGGTCATAACCCAAACCCGAGTTTGTTGCCTATTGAATGAAACTGTTCCGAGAACAGTTTCACAGCAATTGGTCATGGACATGGATTCAAGACGCTAAAAAAAGATTAGGTAGTATTCCAGAAATGGCATTTGATGCAATTCCACTAGAGGTGTTCGTCAATGTTATTAAAATTTGAAAAAATAATTGGAGGACTCCAGGCACTGACCATATCCATAATTACTTCTACAAGAAATTAACTTACCTTCACCCATCAATCTATAAACACATTAATAACTTCATTAAAAACCCTCATTCTATACCTACCAAAATTTGTTACACAAGGCCTGACATACATGATCCCTAAAAATTCTGACTGTATGAACCCATCTAAATACAGACCCATAACATGCTTACAGACTATTTACAAATTAACTACTGGTTGCCACTCAGAAATCATCTATAAACACATAACACAAAATAATATCTTAGCAGAAGAACAAAAAGGATGTCGCAAACTCAGTCAAGGATGTAAAGAACAGTTGACAATAGATTCCATAGCCATGAAACGAAACATAACGTTAAATTAAAAAATGACATAGCTGTGCATAATGTACGTCGACTATCAGAAAGCGTTCGATTCAGTCCCTCATAGTTGGCTACTATACGTACTGCAACACTATAAAATTCACCCAATTATTGTACATTTCTTAACTACAACCGTAAAACACTGGAGTACTAGAATAAAAGTAGGCAAATTGGTAGAAACGGACCCCATTTCTATCAAACTTGACTATTTTCAGGGAGATAAGCCCTCTCTGGTTCTGTTCAAGAGTAGAGAACCGTGGAGAACTAAATAAATATTTAAAAAAATGTTTTGTGTTACAGTGCTGGCAGCAGTAGTTAATGGTGAGCGAACACACCTCTTCTAGACCGTAAGCTAGCGACAGATTTTCACAACCAATTTCCTCTCAGTCGATAATTTGTAAAATGCTTCAGAGAGTTGTATTATGAAGCACTATGAACGTCAGCTGCAGCGTGTACAGTGCTTTATGCCAGCGGCCCGCTGGCACTGCCAATACATATAAGAAAACAATAACTTTTTAATAGTCGTTTCTATCTGATTAAAATTCATCTAATTTATTGTTTAAAAACATGGTCAGTTAGTTTAATTTATTTTCTAGTTTTCAATGTGGAATATGTAAGCGACATGCATTTTTTAAAGTACTGGTTGTTTAGGTGTGGATCACCGCAAACCTTTCATCTCACTGAGAGACATGGACTTCGTGGGCGAGGACAGGCAGTTGAAGACGACACTGGAGCAGTGTATGGCAGGGCTTCGCGCATCGCTCGACTTGAGCGACCTCGAGATAAAGATGGCAGCTGAACGAAGCCAAGGCGACACCATGCTCCCAACAAATGATGTCGAGATCAAGCCCGATCTGCTGTCGCTCAATCTTGGCCATCGAAGGTAGTAAATTAGTGAGGCCGTATAGTTAAGCACGGACCTACGGACGGCGAGCACGTGTAGCTCGCCTTCTGACCAGAACCAGACCCGAGCGGAGCGTGCGTCTGATGGTTCAAAGAGCCATCACCGCAGATGGGACCCATTAGGGTGGTGCCAATGCGGACCCGCAGAGGACCTAATGGGTTGCTGGGGCTCCAGCTTGAAGTGCAAGAGTAGGAACAGTGGTTTTTGTTCAATAAAAAGGGATTACCTCGTCTCTCCCAGGCGGGAGAAGCAATAGGATGGTTTTCCCCAATGTACGAAGTTGTAAAATAGAAATCGGAAAAAGCACATCAAAATCTACAAAATTGCCAATTCTCAACACTTCCGGAAAACATTTTGGGCAACACTCAAATTTCCACCCCAATGACCGCACTACTAATTGACCAAAACATTTATACCCGAAATGTCAGCTCAGTACTCTCATTCTCACGCTTTGGTTATAGGGTCAACATCAGCATGGACTACGCCGAACTATTCAGTCTAGAAGACTCGAAAACCAAACAATCCAACTTGTCCAACTCGCGACGTAAACTATACGTACCTCCACCTGGCGAATATCCTAAATATCAATGGCCTGAAAATTACTTGATCTGTTTAAGGGTTTTAGAAATGATGAAACAGACCGTGTACTCCGTACAGCACAAGCTCACAGACGTTGACCCCTTAATCAAGGAATATGAAAATGATGTCAGGTTCCGCATGGGGTACATCTTCGCCAGATTGGACGAATGGAAGGCAGAAATGCGCTCCCTGTTCTGGCCTGTCGATCGTAATAAGTTAAGGTCTACGAAGGCCTTCTTGTACTACTACGAGCGCATCCTTGCCCTTAACATCGATGTGACCTACACCGTCGAGTATATGATCCACCTGCACACGGAGTATATGATGAAGATGGAACAAATCTTACCTAAGGCTGAACGTCAAAAGTTGATTGAAGCGCAAAGATTAAAAAAGGAAATGGAAGAGTCCAAGTCCAGTACACCTCCATACTAGGCGAGGAATCACTGCGTGGTTCCTGCTCTAACAGCTGCGGGCGACCCACATCCAACTGCAGATATAAACAAACACACTAAGTACAAGCTTTCAAGTTTTATTTCTATGAAATTCTCTGAATACGTAAATATTTTTCTGTCACCACAAAGGGCAAATTGATACCAATAGTGTTCGTAGGTCGAAAGTATATCATTTGATCTAGTATTGATCAGTACTTCTTAGCATGGCTCTTAGTTAGGATGCCGAAAAAAGGATATTTGCCCGCATACATAAAAAATAAAAAATCATACATTTCCTGCGAAACAAGCGATTATCTGTACGAAGTGTTGAAACTACTCAATTGGTAAGTTAGGACCAAAACTTCATAAGAATGAGAGCAAAACCTCAAAACCATGAGATAACATCACGCCAATTCCCGAACGGTCGAGTAAAGATGCAGATGTTTTTTTCTTAATTTATTTATTTACAGTTAGAACACCTAACTACTTGACAGTCTCATTGTCTAAGCCCAACAGCGCGATGCGCGAGCGACGTACATACATGATTGACTGTACAACTGGCACGTTTCTTACCTACATAAACTTACCATCCTAAATAATTTAGTCTTGAGGATTCTCATACTGTTGTTTGTGAGGATGTGTGTGTGTGTGACGGAACAACTCTTTGTGTGATCCACAAATTGTTGTTTCGGGTCTGGGTGTGATGTGTATGTGAACTTGTATGTTTGTAAACGCACCCACGACACAGGAGAAAATCCTAGTGTGGGGCAACGTTTTTTTTTAATATTTTTTTGACGTGACAACGTCTTAAATTAGGTTGCGGCTGGGAGTCACTTATGAAAAAGTGTAACGCTCGGTAACGTTACGATGAGTCACCGAACGAGAGAGAGGCCCGCCGAATGCCTTGCGTCTCTCTCCCACTCAACTATGATCGGTCTGCCGCGCGCGCAGCACTAGTTCATTCAATTCCTTGTTCCTATTGTGCAATTTAATTATATTCATATCAATAAATATTCTACCGAGAAAAAGACGTTGTCACGTAAAATCTTCGCCCGTAAAAACGACTTTACAGGCAACCATTTTTTTTTCTTCTTCTCCTCTTATAATATATTCTGATTCACTTCGTTGCGGGAACCAAGACAGTTACTCATGTCCCTGGGACGCGCCGGACTTCAGTGTTCTGGTGTTCATGGTTGTATCTACTGTAGATCCTGGCTTACAGGAGTTGCAGCGGTTTTGGGAGGTTGTGGCGGGATTGTCCCAAAAAAAAATAATAATAAAAAAAATGTTCACTTAAATTACATGCTGTAAAAAGCATATTGATCTATGATAAATGCACAATTTATTTAACTCGTCGAGTACCGGTTTTGTAGACACAATTATAGAACAATAGGTTGCGGTCACCGGTGACCGCTTGGTGTTTGACAGTTTAAAGTAGGTACTTAATTGGATAAGGAAGGATTAATGCTGTATTGTTTAAATTCACTTCATAAATAACCATTGATAGTAAAGGATCAAAAATGGTTATGGTGGGTTATCCCTAATAGATAGACATACCATCGCGGACTTTTTTGTTGAACTTTTTAAGGTGGTCAATACTATAGTACATTATATTGGTCTATCTCGTAGGGTACAGCCAGCGTTTGCAATATAAGCGCAAAATAAACGTGCTGATTTACGACATCACATTAGAAACCTCTAAATTTATCAGTATTTCTCTACTATATTATGCATGTATTATACATATAAACCTTCCCTAAGAATCGCTCTATCTATTAAAAAAACCGCATCAAAATCCGTTGCGTAGTTTCAAAGATTTAAGCATACAAAGGGACATAGGGACAGAGAAAGCGACTTTGTTTTATACTATGTAGTGAAGTTCATTCATACCGTTTATATGTATTTATGAGTGTTACCTATACATTTTTATTGAGGTAAGTAACTCTTTAATTGTATGCAAACTACGAGCAATAAATAGCTTAGCGTCGCTTCGAATGATGCGGATGTTTACCTCATTGTTGTAAGAAACTAAGTTTGTTATGAAATGTTCCAATACTGACTATTACTGACACAAATGATGCCTTGATCGTTCTTCTAAATAAGTGATAGTCAGGGTTCTATAAAATTACTTTGAGTATTTGGAACTTTCGATACGTTTTGAGTGTACGGCGGCGGGCGGCGGGCGGCGGGCGGCGGTGTGCAAGCTAGCGCGGGCCGTGGCCGTGTGGCCGGGCGCGCCGGGCCGCGCTACAGTCGGCCGCACACCGCGCGCGATCAGCGATACGGCTGTTTAATGGAAGCGGAGCGGCAACATCGCATATCGCTTTCTCTCTCGCAGTATAGCTTTGGCGTCGCTTCGGGTGGCCGCGTTCATCGGTCGGGAAAACAAAACATAATTTAAATGATGAACTCGAGACACTACAGAGAGCGTTTGATAGACGAAGTGAAAAAGTACCCGGTGCTGTACGACACGCAGCATGAGAACCACCGCGACATCGACGTGCGCGATCGCTGCTGGCTGGAAATCTCCGAGCGGCTGGGCGCTAACAGTACGTATACCGCTGTCAATGTGATATTGACGGTTTTAGATCGTACTCGTTACAGTACATTACTAATAGTGGGCTCTAAAAGTGGACAACAGAGCGATTTAGTAATATAATGTTTCAAATTACATTTATGTAACTTTATAAAATTGTCATTTAGAGGATTGTTAACGTTTGTTATAGCTGCACTATACATTTTATTCCAATATTGCACATGAGTATAACGTAAATATCTCTTTTCAAACATTATTACATTGTATAGGTACCTGATAATGCTAACAATTCAGTGTTGTCATTTCTATCGCATGTCTATCGCTCTTCTACAACTATAGTGACATTTAATTTAGCGTAATGTAATAATACTTCAACTAATATTAGTATAGAAAATGGTTGCGTACAAGATACAGTCCATGTCGATATCTGAAGAGAAAGAAAATTATTCGAAATATTAGGGGAGGAGGGGGTATTTGAGCCTATTAATAAAATGTGATATTACAAACCTAACTAGGGTTGCCACCTTTTTCTTTCGTATGTAAAGTACATTAACGATTATAGATAAGAAAAAAAAGTACACAGTACAAAAATAAAGTACAATTTATTCTTATTTAGTATTATATTTAAAAATATATTTTTTATTGCTTTTTGCAGTTTGTATTAAATTAGTACCTTTACTAAACAATTGCATTGAAATACTAAACAATTGCATCTTTACTAGAAATTGTCTAAGTGGCGCTGGCGAATTATCGATTCAACATAAATCGATAAATATCAATATCGAATCGATAAGTTTACCGAAAAATACTTACGACTTTAATAGAAAAAATAAAGTATTTTCGTGTACTTTATTCTTCTTATAAAGTATAGAGTACAATTACCTTAAATAACGTACAATACTTTATTATAAAGTACGGGTGGCAACCCTAAACCTAACACTCCCTAGGCTAGTGTCTAAAACTCCCTCTCGCTCCCTCAAAAAAAAAAATGTAGTAGACGTACAGATTGTTCTGTGCAACAGGTGAGGTGCTGAAGCGCGAGTGGAAGATTTTGCGTGACTCCATGCGCCAAGCTCTAAAGCGCAGTAAGACGGGCGCCACCACTAAATCAGGGTTGCCATGCAAGAAGTGGCGCTTCCAAAGTCGCATGGCCTTCGTGTTACCGTACATGACAATCAGACGGTGAGTGATACTGAAACGTGTTGCAATTATAGGTATGCTAGCATTGTTAAATTGTGTATTGTAGTCATGACTAGTATTGGCACGATGTTTACTTGTGTTATAGAAACCAACGGTCAGTGAAGAGCAATATCAAGGTGGACGACATGGAAGCGGGGTCAGAGCACGAGCGCGAGCCTGAGGTGTGGGAGCCGCCTCCTCCGGCCGACAGTGACCACGACTCTCTGGACCTGTTTTTCGCAAGTGTCTGCCAAAGTACCAAACGGTTACCAAGAAAATTTCAATCTTCAGTAAAAAGACAAGTTCTGGATGCACTTCTCAGAGTTGAAGAAGAGTGGGAGGTGGAACAAGCAGAGTCTAAGACTGAACTAAACAAAAACTTCTGAAGAAGTGCACGCGTTGAACATTGTTAGTATTTTTGGTTTGAGCCTTAAAATATAAATCTGTCAAACTCGAAGTTTCGTTTGTGATATGTGTCAGTGTGTAGAGTAAGTTTAAAATATGCAAACGGCAAATAGTATGTCACATATTAATTTCTGCTTATTTCGTTCCCGAAGGAGGAATGAAATTGTTTTAGATATTGTATTAACTGATCGAAACTCCTCGAGGCCAGCACACGTTTGAATTTTTGGTCATTTGTTATCGATCGACAGTTGATCGTTCGGTATGAAGTGACACTTCCGAAGTATCCCATAAAAACGTACACATTCATGAACTACCACAAACACATTTTTTATTTTTCAGGGTAATCAAGCCTCGGAATAAAACAGCAATAAAATAAGGAAGTATTGGTAAAGGCCAGAATCGATGCGCTAAAATCAAAGCACCTATTTTAGACGCTCCCAGAAAAAACAGCCGATAACTGTACAAAAAATGAAGAGCACAGGAAGCAATTTGCCATTGAAGTGACATAAAGGGGTAGAAGACTACACAGAAAGAAATTAATAGAAAATCTCAGTAACTTAAATAATAAGGAAGGAAGATTCATGGGCCCTATTTTAAAAATATTTTAAATCTAGGGCGTCCAGCGTCCATAATTTGACTACGGTTCAATCTATCTATTTAGAAAAACTGACAGGTTGGTTTATACAATTATGGGTGAAGTTATCTTTACAAGTACTTGGAGAATATTATGAAGCTTGGAATGGTTGACTTAGTATGTCGGGACATATTCCCGGAGAGTCCATCAGACATAATTATTAACTCTTTGTTGTACTCGTTTGGATCAGGGCGAATACTTGATAGCTAATGAAAGAGTCTAGATTGACCATCAGCAACTTGCTTTACAATATAGACTTTTGAATTGAAGGGACCGCTATGTGCCCGAGCCTGTTCTACAAAATGATCATAAATATTACGTTGTTTGACAGGGCTATTGTTGCGAATAAGTCTGAAACAGTAAATAGAGCAACTAGAGGACTGACCTACAGACTGCCATTTTTTCTTATTATTTAATATTAAAATATTTTGTTTTGACGTTTAAAAGTACCTTCCTGGTCTAATTGAAATAAATGCCACACGATGATACATCGATTTCACCATTGGTGAAGGCGAGAATCTCGTGAAAGCTCAGAAACATACCCGAACAAATAAAATAAATCATGACTTAGCTCACGACCTTGGATGGAATTCAATAATTAATAAATGTGTTATTAAAGTATATTATTAATTTTATTTCCAATAACAAATAACGAAGTCTACAATTACCTTTTATTAGCCTTTATGTAACTTGCAATTTATGTATGTACATATATATAATATGTACTTGCCTGTACTTAACTCCACTTTAAACACTTTCTTCCTTGAACCAGTGAACTATCTTGAAATATATAATATCATAAATAATCTTAAAAATAAACAAAGTTTCGGTATAGACGAACTTCCTCCTTCCCTTATTCGACAATGTGCAAATGAACTTACATTGCCCTTCTGTGTACTAATCAACCAATCCTTTGAAGACGGCGAATTTCCTGATCTACTAAAGAAAGCTATAATAAAGCCAATACATAAAAAAAACTCTAAAACCGACCCGAATAACTACCGCCCCATAGCCCTACTACCAACAGCTTCAAAAATTTTCGAAAAAGCTATGTGCAACCGCGTATACAAGTTTTGCGAAAAATATGAAATTTTTGATGAAAGCCAAAACGGATTCCGCAAACAGCGTTCAACAACCCTTGCTGTCTATAAATATATGCAGGAAGCCATTAATATAATAAATAGCAAACAATATGCAGTCGGAATACTCCTAGATATGACTAAAGCGTATGACAAAGTCCAATTTAACATTATACTAGATAAATTATATAAAATAGGAATTAGAGAAAAAGCGCACAAATGGTTTACTTCATATCTAAAAAATAGAGAGCAATACGTAAAAATAGATAATTATAACTTTGAACTTAAAGAAATTATAAATGCGTCAATACCGCAAGGTAGTGTAATCGGATGTCTACTCTTCTTAATTTACATCAATGACCTCCCGAAGATTACAAAGGAACCGTGTGTACTATTTGCAGATGACATATCACTACTCACCTCATGCAAAACTATGAATGGATTAAATGAACGGCTCAAAAACACTTTTGTTAAAATAGCAGAATGGATGAGAAAACATAATCTTGAAATCAACTACCAAAAAACTAAATTAATAACCTTCCATCCATATCAAAAGTCCTCATTAGAAATAGATTTTTCAACCAACTGTATAAAAATAGAAAATGTTAAAGATTTCACACTATTAGGAATAACCGTAGATACAAATTTAAACTGGACGACTCATGTAAAAAATATCCGAGCAAAAATATCAAGATTCGCCTATGCTTTCCGGGAAATCAAGAAGACCACTGACTTTCAGACAACATTATCCACTTACTATGCCTACGCATATGCGTGGCTTAGCTACGGAATTATTTTGTGGGGAAATAGCACAGACACACCTTCTCTTTTCACTCTTCAAAAAAAACTTATCCGCATCCTAACTAATATAGACCAAACTGATAGTTGTCAACCCTACTTTAAAAAACATCAAATACTTACCTTACCATGCATCTACATTCTAGAAATATGTAAATTTGTGAGAAACAATATTGCCTTCTTTACTAAACGTGGAGACAAACATGCAAACAGATCACTAAGACATAAAAACCGACTAATGTTACCTACTTCTAATATGAGCCTACATTCCAATAGTCCGTATGTAATGTCTATAAAAATATATAATAAGCTACCAGAAGCCCTAAAGGAAGAACCCAGAAATATAAAATTTACTAATAAATTAAAACAAATACTCATAAATAAAGCATATTATAATATTAAAGAATATATTAATGATAAAGATTTAAAATAAACACTGTAATTAAAAATTAAATATGTGTACGACATATATAATATTAATGATTAAATCACCTATTACAATACACATATTTAAATATATAAAACAAAAAAAGAATATTAAAATAAATGTTTAATATATAAATATATAAACCTACATAGAATATATAAGTACATTTATAAACATTTTCATAAATAATACTAATAGCATTACAAAATAAATTGAACAAAACAACTACTTATAACTAGTAATAAGAAATCTGCGATACATAATCTAAATAAAATTAGCGTCCTCCTCTCTTCTACGTTGCCGTGCCCTACAGGGTCCATACTGTACTATATTATTATGTAACACCTTTTAAACATATGGAGTGCAATAAACGTATTGAGTATTGAGTATTGAGTATTG